ATCTTCTCCCTGATCCTCATAGCCTACTTTTTCTGGAAATGAAGCTTTTGACTTTTCCCTGTTCTTATAAAAGGAGGAAAAAGAGAACAAGAAGGGATAGTGTTATCAGGACCTTTTTACATGGCTAAGAGGCCTGGGGGCTGTTCATATGACCTCTCTCTGGCCCTTTCTCTATTTTCTTCTCATGACATCCTAAGTCAATGGCCCAGTAAATCAAGGTATGTTTGAAACCCTAAATATTGAAATATCTCTTGGCATTATACTTAAACTGGCTACTTTATTTCTTGTAAAATAAAAAAAAATCAATTCATCTGATTTTTCAAATGTTGAAACAGACTTTGGGTACCATCTTCCCCCATATGGGACTTGGTCCTAATAGTTGAAAACAATTATAATAAAATATAAGAGCAAAGCAACTGGACTGAGCTCCAACCTTGTATCTTTCTCAAACTTACGTTCTGACAATAACACCCAAAACTTTTATCGCTCCTAGCTCTGGTACCAAGAAGTGTTCTGTTGATGGAGTACAGGATTAAATAATGTAATAGTCTCAAGAATTAGCTATGAACCATGAAAGCCTTAGCCGTAATCCATCTTCAACTCTCATGATCCTCTCTCTCATCTTACACTGAGGGGGATTATATAATCTCACTTTCAACATTATTCTAAAAATTCAAGAAATCCTTTAGATGAAGCTAGACTTGTCCATTATTTGTTCTAAGCCATTATGGCAACGCAGTAGCTTCATATTGCATTGTGTACAACACAGGTCTCCTCCAACTTGATGCCCTTTCAAATACACTGGATTGAAATTCCCATCATCCTTAGCCAGTATGTTGTTGGTTGCAGATGATGAGTTTTACCCAACACATCTGAAAGACACCAAGTTGGGGACGTTTATGTCAGTAAGTTTTATTTTCTCCAGCTTCTTTTTAGTTCCTGCCTAACGTTTCTTCATTTTGGCTTCATTTCCCATTCATTATTGCTGCAGTTCATTCCTCTCCACCTCCCGATTTCAGGAATTCCAGCCAGCCTCTGCTGCCTGTTTCTAAGTGACATACAATTACTCCTCCCCATTCTTGGTCAGGACATTGGAACTGCCAAGTTTCAGAGAGCTTAGCACTTGTTAATTTTATAGGCAATTTTAAAAGGTAGATAGACACAGCCTTTAATTCAAGTTAGTGGAGCTTTCCGACCCATCAGCTGGCCCTGGTTTCTCTCTCATCCTCCCACGATGACCTTTCCATGAACTGTACACTGTGCTTCATGCTGTTCATTCAATCCCAGACAGTGTCTCTTACGTAAAGCAAATTAAAATAAACAGGAAGGAATGGCAGGAGAGGGGGGAGATATGAGATGTCTGTCTTTTCCCATTCAGTTTTGCTTTTCCACTCACTTTAATTATAAAAATGAATGGAGCTCATTTTTTTCTTTTTTCTTTTCTTTTCTATATTTACCCTACCACAACCATGCCCAAAGACTGAATTCAACCTCCTCTACTTGTCTGCCAGCTCACCTGTCAACCTGCTCATCCAGTCTGCTCCTTGATCTCATCTGTCCAATGAGATCTTTCCTGGTACACAATTTCAGCCTAGGTCTCAGTTGCAGCAGGGCATGTAGAAAACCAGATGACAGAATAAATTATCCATGACTAACTTTCCACAAGTCATGCTTTTTACTGACCTTTTTAAAAAAATGAAAATAGTCCTCATTTGTAATCTGCAGTGGTACAGTCTGTAGTACAGATTTACCTCTTCATCTCTTCTTTGTGGGAATATAACTCTGTTGCCTCAAGCATAAATGTGTCTCCAGATTTGCACTTTAAAATCAATGGTCTGGCGCCAATGCGTCCATTCATTTGCTAAATGGAAGCCCTTCAAACTTCTGATTACATTCCAGTCAAGCACAGATGTGTGTTTCCCCTTGTGGTTTGTCTATACAACTTACGCATCCAATCTCAATCATTAGTTCACTTCTCTTCCACTGGTTTATTCCAATTGTCCTATAAGCTTACCCAGAGTATCCCAAAGACCATATTTAGTCCATATGCTGCCCATTTTGATTTAGTCTTGTTGTATTGTTATATATTGTGACAGGGTGCCCAAGATTATCAAAACCACCCTTGCCACGAAGACCTCATCTAATACAAACTGTTCATAGATCCTTTATCTTTTTAAAAGATGCAAAATGAAACTGAAAAGGTTTAAAAGGGGACACTGTGTTACTAGAGTTTTTTAGATGATGTTTGAAGAAAAGTGGAAGCTGAGGTTCATTGGAAAGAGTGGAATTGCTATTTCTCAAAGGAGGAAGAACTGTAGTATGTTTCTGTGATGGAAGACAGATGTGTTCATGGTTTGAAAGGAACATTCAGACCTCCAGAAAGATGCCTGCAGCTATTCAGCAATTTGGTGGCTGAAGATCCCAGAGAGAACAGCGGGGCCAAAGACAACAGAAGGGAGAGCAACTGGCAAGTCTCTTGTCTCTATAAAGTTAGATAAGCCAAAAATCTGACAGATGAGTGGAGAGCAAATGGCCCAAACATTGTCTAGCTAACATGAAGTTAAGAGAATTTTTCTATGCAATGCAGGAAGGAATAATTAAATTAAACAAGCACCTTGTTAATAGAGGAGGAAAACTAAAAAACAACATAGAAATAAGCAGTAAAAGAAACACAAGAAAAGTAGAATCCCTAAAGCAAGCAAATAGCAATTTAGGAAAATAGAAAGATTTTGTAATATAAGCTCACTATAAATATTAACACACAATACTGAACAACTTAGACCTCAGTTTAGCTTGTAAATTATTGCTGATGCACACTGGATAACCGAGAAGGCCAAAGAATACCAAAAAAAGTCAGTATGTGCTTCACTGATTATAGAAAGGCTCTTGATTGTGTTGATCATGTCAAGCTGTGGAATGTGCTTAGAAGAATGGAATCCCAGAATATCGAATTATCCTCATGTGAAACCTATATACGGGTCAAGAAGCCACAGTACAGACAGAACATAGTGAAACAGATTGGCTCCAGGTTGGCAAAGGAATAAAACAAGACAATATACTCTCCCATTATTTATTCAATTTATATGCTGAATATATATTAAGGGAAGTGGGATTGGAAGAAGATGAGCATGGTTTTAAAATTGGAGGAAGAAACATCAATAACAGTGTGCTATACTGACGGCACTATTCTGATAGCCAAATATATAAAGAATCTGCAAGTTCTAGTAATAAAAGTCAAGGAGTACAGTGGAAAACTGGGACTATAAGGAAATCCAAACTAACAACAGCAGTTATAACAACCAGCCTTAGAACTGAAAAGGAAGATATTGAAGTGGTAGATAGCTTCTGCCTTTTAGGATCAGCCATCAACAGT